TCCAATCAAGGACTTCTAGTACTCAAATTAAAGCTACGAACATGCTCTACAAGTCTCATGTTCATGTCAATATGATATGAGGCTTGAATCTTGAGTTATGTGATCTTGAAGTTAGGCGCTAAACTAAGGGATTTTACACTGTCAAACTTAGCAATCCTAGCCTAGCAACTTCTCACACTCTTGAATATTGATGAAATGATCTTGAAATAATCTTCTATATGTCTCAATACAACATCACATGATCATAAAGACTTGGATTTGAGTCTTAATCTCCTTCAGTTCAATTGTTGACTTAGGGTTGACCAGGTGAAAACCCTAATTGCATCAATCTTTGTTGTGGCTTCACACACTTGATACAATGACTGACATAAGCTTCAAAATGACGCTCAAGGTATTCCATGAGCTCTCTCAATATTCTCCACCCATAACCATGGATTCAAAACCACTGGATGACCTTCATAGACCCCCAAGATAGGAGGTACACCATTCTTAACCAATCCACTCCTTCTGATGAGCTTTTCCATTCTTATGATAATGATAAGCACTTGATAGCTTGAATATAACCCCTTGAATAGGCTTAGACCTTTGATATCCCTCTCTTGATAAGCACACACCTCTCAATCCCCTGTTCATGGACTATGGTATGCATATGCTAATGCTATGAATGCAATGATAAATGCATTGAAACAAAAGCCAGCTAAAGCAAAAAGTTGGGAAAATTTTGGGGTGTAACAGGTTGGATACCGATATTGTAATGCACAAGCTCCCTCTTAAACTTGAGTGTCCTCAGTTAAGCATAAGCTTTGAAGATCCATACCCGACATGGCTCTCAAAATCAGGGATGAGGTCAAAAAGCAGATAAATGCATGTTTCTTAGCAGTATCAAAATACCCAGAATAGGTGGCCAACTTTGTGACTGTGCCAAAAAAGGACGGCAAAGTTAGAATGTGTGTAGACTACAGGGATCTGAACAAAGCTAGTTCTAAGGACGATTTCCCTCTGCCGCATATCGATACTTTGGTGGATAATACAACCAGCTTTGTAGTGTTTTCATTCATGGATGGCTTCTCCTGCTATAACCAGATAAAAATGGACCCGACTGACATGGAAAACAACCTTCATCACCCCTAGGGCACCTATTGTTATAAGGTTATGCCTTTTGGTTTGAAAAATATTGGGGTCACATATCAACGAGCTATGGTGACATTGTTTCATGACATGATGCGCCAAGAGATCGAGGTTTACGTTAATGATTTGATTGTCAAGTCTCATAGCGAAGAAGATCACCTTGATCATCTGTTGAAGCTATTTAAGAGCCTCAGGAAGTATCAGTTGAGACTAAACCTTGCCAAATGTACCTTCGGAGTCAAATCTGGCAAACTACTCGGCTTCATTGTTAGTTAATATGGAGTCGAAGTGGATCTCGACAAGGTACGAGCCATCCAGGAAATGCCTGCACCGCAAACCGAGAAGCAAATCAGAGGTTTCCTTGGCATACTGAATTATATCTCTAGAATCATATCCAACTTGCACGTCAATCTTTAAGTTGTTACAAAAAGATCAAGCGGTTGTGTGGAATGAGAATTGCCAGTCAGCATTTAAGAAGATCAAAAGATATCTCCAAGAGCCTCCAGTATTGATACCTCCTGCGCCGCGAAGACCTCTCTTTATGTACCTTCCTGTGCTTGAAGAATCAATGGGGTGTGTCTTGGGCCAAAAGATGAATCAGGGAAGAAAGAGCATGCAATTTACTACTTAAGCAAGAAGTTCACCGATTGCGAGAGTCGTTACTCTCCATTGGAAAAAAGCTTGTTGCACGCTGGTTTGGGCGGCCAAACGTCTGAGAGAGTACATGATTTGCCACACTACTCTATTGATATCCAAAATGGATCCAATGAAATACATATTCGAGAAACCTTCTCAGACGGAGAGACTTGCAAGATGGCACATGCTCTTATTAGAGTATGACGTTCAATATGTTGTACAGAAGTTGATAAAAAGAAGCGTCTTGTCAAACTACCTTGTTGATCAACCTGTTGAAGATTATCAGTCGCTCAAATTAGACTTCCCCAACGAAGATGTCATGTTCCTTTACAAAGCTAAAGAAGAACCTGATCCTGAAGAGGGTCTTGAACCTGACTCCCGTTAGAAAATGATGTTTGACGGTGTTTCTAACAAAAAAGGCCACGATGCTAGTATTAGTTCTAGAAAATCCTGTCGGAGGTTATACTGCTGTTACTGATAGGTTGTGTTACAAATGTACAAACAACATAGCTGAATATAAAGCCTGCATCTTAGGTCTTGAAGTTGCCATCGACCTTCGCATTAAGATTTTGGAAGTAATTGGCGACTCTGCCTTAGTGATTTATCAGCTCAAAGGCGAATGGGAGACCCGAGACGAAAAACTGGTTCCTTACAAAACGCTGCTGAAAAATTGTTCGTTATGACTTGATCAATGTTATCTGTCATTTTCATTAGTTTGGTTACCTCCCTAAAGCATTAGTGTCGTCTTTCATTTCAATTATACCCAAAAATGATAACCCTCAGAAATTAGATGAATATAGATCTATTAACTTGGTTGGTTGTGTGTACAAAGTGATATCTAAGTTATTGGAAGATTGGTGTTAAGTACTCAAACAGTGTTCATCCCCGAGCGACAAATGTTGGACGGTGTCTTGCTTACTAATGAAATTCTTGACCTAGCAAAGAGTAGTAAGAGAAATTGTATGGTCTTCAATGTAGATTTCGCTCAAGCTTACGACTATGTGGAGTGGGCATTCCTTGAAGACGTGATGATAGAGATGAATTTCTGCAGTAAATGGTGTAAATGGATTAGAGGTGGGGCTTTAAATTGCTATATGTCGGTCTTGGTAAATAGAGGCACAACTAATGACTTCAAGGCTACAAAGGGTCTTAGGCAAGGTGGCCCTTTGTCACCTTTCTTATTTGTCTTGGTAGCTGAAGGTCTGGCTTTGTTGGTAAGGAAGGCTAAACATAAGGATATTTTCAAAGGCTTTCCTATTAATGAGGTAGAATCTATCAGTCTTATACATTTTTCTGATGACACAGTTCTAGTAAGCGACAAACCGTGGTCAGACCTTTGGGGAATTAAATCTATACTGAGGGGTTTCAAACTGATCTCAGGGTTGAAAATTAATTTCTAGATAAGTTGTCTGTATGGAATAGGTATTGAGGAATCACTTTTATCTGCAGCTACCCAATTTTTGGCATGTAAATCAGGTACACTTCCTTTCAATTTTTTAGGTGTTGTTGTGGGTGGGAAGCATAGAAGTGTTGTGTTTTGAAATCCTATTTTGAGCTGCTTTAGATCAAAGTTATCAAAATGGAAGGAGAGGATAATGTCGTTCGGGGGAAGAGTCACCCTGTTAAATTCAGTCTTAACTAACCTTCTGGTCCATCATTTTTGTTTCTTAAAAGTCCCGTCTAAGGTTGTGAAGGGATTGATAGCAATCCAAAGGTAGTTCTTATGGTCTAGAACTAGCGATAAGACGAGCATTGCTTAGATGGGTTGGACTAAGGTGTATAAGCCTAAGAGTATTGATGTCCTTGGAGTTAAGGATTTAGTTTGCTTTAACAAGGCACTGTTGTCCAAGTGGTTGTGGAGGTGCGTCAATGATACCTCTGCAATGTGGAAGGGGCTACTTGTTTCAAGGTACGGGTGTCTAACAAAAAAATCATGGTGAAGAGGGAAACAAAAACTTCAGCTATGGGATCCCAGTGGTGGAGAGATATAATGAATATTGGTAATTCAATGGAGTTGGGGAGCTTTATGACACAAGTTTCTTGCAAGATTGGGGAAGGTTGTCTCGTGTTTTTTTGGCACTCGTGTTGGCTGGGGCAGGTACCTCTAAGGTGTGTATTTCAAGACCTATACGATGCTTCTGCCATGAAATGGGCATCTATCATGGATATGGGTCTTTGGGTGAAGGGAGTTTGGATGTGGAACCTTCACATTAGAGATCAAGATTTGATGGGTAATCTACTTGAGGAATTCACTGAATTGATGAACTTGCTCATGGAAGTTAGGCTGCGCCCTGGTGTCGAGGATTGCTTCGCATGGAAAGGTTGCAATTCTCAAATGTTTACTGTTAAATCATGTTACATTGCTTTGTTAAACACAAGTTCTTTGTCAAAAGTGGAGGTTAATCTCAAGATTATTTTAGTTTTGCTGTGGCAGACGAAGATCATTAAAAGCCAGAATAATTGTTTGGAGTTTGGTATTGGATAGAGTTCTTACGAGATCGAATTTGGTGGTCAGAAAAATATCTCAAATCATCATAATATTGTGTTTGTGTGTGTTATGTTTTAATGCAGTGGAAGATAATGATCACATATTTTGTTCTTGCCCTCGTACTCGTTTGGTTTGGAGGAGGATTTCAGAATGGGTGAAAATCGATTGAGTTGAAAGGTGACAATATATGTGATCACATGTTGGTATGATGTTGGAATGATTCTTGAAGCTAGTGAGAATTAGTTCAAAGTCTACGACGTGTATCATTTAATTAGGTGTTGGACTATTTGATAGACGCGTTATCGTTTGGAAATCCAACTGAAATCGCTCTTAGGTCTATCCATATGTACTGGTGGTTAGATTTTTAGTCTAAAAATCCTGACAATTTGATGGTAATAATTTTTTGAGGGGCAATTTATTTGTTGGTGCTACTTGGTTGGAGTAGCCTAGTACCCTTTTTGAACATAATATTGCTTATGAAAAAAAAATGAATAAAACAAATTCAAAATGTATATTGAAAATACTGATAATTCAATTCACCTAGGTAAGTTAATGAAAAGAAAAAAAGTGTGGAACGTCACTAACGAATGTCGTGATGTGATAAACTTATAAATAAAAGTGCGAAAAAATAATGAGGAATATAGCCATAAAACTCGATTTTCATAGATAAATATAACAAATGAATTGAATGAACAAATCAAAGAATATCTCATTGTCTAACAACTAAAACAAACTAAGTAGTATTTCTCTATACTAATGTAGAACAAGCTGAGGTTTTAGGATCAACAATCGCAGGCAACAGATACTTCCTCCCGTTGACACCATTTGCGTTGTAACTAGCTCCACTTGTTTTGTCCACCAAAAGATCTCCAGCATAACCAGGATAAGCCCCTTTTGCATAAATACCAGTACATGCTGAAGATGCTTCCAATGGAGCTTCTTTTGGTCCTTGATAATATCCATTTCCAAAAGGATTTGTTACGGTTCCAGCTAAAAGACTAGCCACATTTATAATCATTCCATCAAGACCAACATCATTGTTTGGTGCAACCAATGGTGAACTTTGTGGACCATAAATTGGTTGGTGAAATGGCCAAGCACACTGACCAGCACATTGAGTTTCAGAGTTTCCAACCCAAATGTAAGCGAATTTGTGTTGTTTCCCGTTCATGCGTGCACCGTAAGAAGAACCGTGCGTCCCACACCTACTTGAACAGAAACCATCAACTGCCACGTCGGAAGCTGTTAGAACAATGTTGATGGCGTTCTGTTGTTGTCCTTTGGATGCGAGTTTAATGATTTGGTTAGTTGTGAGAGATTTGCCTAAAGAGTAATTCTCGTCGAGAATTTGAGTACCGAGGGAGAGTGCAAGATTAACTGATTTCTTGTTGTTGGTGAGGTGGTAGTATTTTTCGGTTGATTTCCACCACGTGGCAACGGATGGTTGTGATGTGGTTGTTTGTTTGGGAGAAGAGAGGGAGGTTATGAAATCAGTGATGATGGCTCTTTGGGAAGGTTTGAAATTTCCATACCAAATGAGGTTAATGGAGATTTTGCCAGATAGGAGAGGACCTTTGTGGTATTGAAATTTAAGTAGTTGGTCAGATTCAGTGAGCTTTCTTGCTGAAATCAAATGAAGTAAAGAAATAGCGAGAAAAAGTGTGAAGATGATACTAATGTTAAGAGAGGCCATTTGTGTTTTGTAATGAGAGAAAGAAGAAAGTAATTATAAAAGTAAAAGGGAGGTGTTGTGAGATGATTGAAAAGTGAGATGAGGTTTGTAAGTATATATAGTGGGATTGTATCGGAAAGGAAAGTGGAAAATAAGAGTAACGGAAGGTAGAGTGGAGTGGTATAGTTGAATTCAAATAATGTGGGATGTGCCAGCTAGAATACGCGTTGATATTTTAGGATTCCAGCAGTGTGATTATTCGGTAGCTTTAATAATAATAACCAAATTGACGTGTTTGTACCGCTAGTTGCCAAGTATGAATGAATATTGCATAGGTAGATGGGACAATGACAGCACAGCACAGCTATGGTACATAAAGACAAAGCTGATTTCGGTTTGTAGAAGGCATGCCCCTTGCTTTTGGGTCCATTAGAATTGATGAGCGTCACTTTTATTCCTCAGCAAATATTTGCGGGATCTGCTTGCAAAATTGGCTGCTCGCTATTCTAGAATTTTATTTTATAATTGTATTTATATTTTTTATGGACTTTCTGGTCTTTCTAATTTTGTTTAGAGTCTTTTCTTTTGTTATTCCTATTCTTTGGATTGTTTCGTTCACACTTTCGTTCGAATTAGATAATTATGATGAATTTTAAAAAACTAAATCTAAACCGAAAGTTATAAATTATAGTATATTATTTGTGAAATTGTAAATGAGGGTAAAAATAGGTCGGAGAGTTAAGCTTTGTCAAGTTTAAGTTTGATTTATTAAAAAAATTGAAAGCTAAGTTTGATCAGTAATTTATTATAGGTTTATTTTTAGGTTTGAGAAGGATTTTTTTTAAAGATCTGGTTAGCTTGTTAGCCTATATAAAAGTCCATTATTTTAAATATACGTAAATAAACAATTAAAATAATGTTTAAAAAGACTAACAAACTAGAAAACCAATGAAATTAAAACGTTGTTTGCATTGACTTATTTTAATTTACCTATTAGTATAAGTTTTGTGAGATTATTTGTTTAAGATAGCTTATGAAAACAACTCATAACATTGTTCATAGGGTATTTTCATCTTATTTTAATAAGTTATGCAAGATAACCAATTTTTATTTATGTATTCAAAGTACAAAACATAACATAGTGATAATAACAAAATTATTCATATTTATTTAAATAGGTCGACCTATTAGGTTTAAAAGGTTTTTTTTATGACCTGAGGCCTAACCTTTTTAATTAAATAGACTTATAAAAGGCCTAGTTTTTTTTTTAAAGCTTGACCTGTCCTGAGCCTATGTAGACTAGACCGTAGACCCCTGTTATCGGCCTTGCCTATTTTCGACTCTAATTGTAAAAACTGCAATTAGAAAAAATGAGTGCAGAGAATTTTCATTCATTTAATGGAATAATACTTATATAATTAAGGTTTAAATGTAGTTTTAGTCCCCCTCCCTTCTTTGTTTTTTATAACTTATAAATTTTTTAGCCAAGTATTAGGTCCATTATTTTGATTAATTTTGTGATTTTTTCGGTCCCCTCTCAGTTTTGGTTATGTGGCAGTCTTAATTATGACGTGACAATGAAAAATTTGACTATTTTTTAATATCTTTCTGCCACGTCATTAAATAACATTTTCTATCTGATTTTATTTTAATAAATTAACAAAATCTTATTTTAACAAATTAACAAAATCATTATAAATCCACCAATTCATCTCATTCTCAAACGCATTTTCAGTGTAAAGAACCCTAAAAATGTTCATCTCATTCCTTGTTGCGATCAACTCTAAATTCTCAATACCCAAAAATTCTGCAATCGTTCTTCCATTCTTTCATAATCGTTCATCATCAAGCTTTAGGATTAGCCATGGAGATTCCCGCTGCCATCGTGAAAAACAATGAAGGGGTGAAATTTTGTCTCAGGCACATATTAATTTGTCCCCCACGATAGAAACTAGGTTGTATGCTTATTTTAATGTACATATTGGTCCCTTTGTGTTTTAGGGTTTCTGATGTTGTATGCGTATTTTAATGTACATGGTTGTCCCTTGGGTTTGTGGTCCCACAGTTCTGTATTTTTTTATGTCTTGTTGCACTACTACAAAACGCGTAAATAACAACGTCATGGTCACCACGGTTCTTCCCTACACTGTGGTGACATCTCTAAACTAAGACACTATCATATTATTTTTGTTTTTTAATTAAAAATTATTTGTATATAACAACGGTTGAGGAGTCAACCGTGGTGATATCATCAAGCTTTCATGGGTTCGAACCTCAACGCCCTCATATAAATTATTCCTTTAATGTTAAGGCACACCTTTTCTTTCTTATTTATTTTTAAATAAAAAAGCTTAAAGGGTTATGACTACGGTTGATGAGTTCCACCGTTGTGATATATTTTGTTTTTTTTTTATTTAAAATTTTTAATTGTAAATTAAACTCTGGCGCTTCTTTATGAAATTTCACTATGAAAGTAATATATCATAACGGTTGCTGGTATTGGTCGTGGTAACATCAATTTTGGTAAAATTAACTTGTCAGCAAGATGTTGGACAAGATGTCCTAACATGATGAAGAACTAACTGAAGATCAAGATGTTATATAAGATGTCCTATCATGATGATTCAACATCTTTGTCTGTTACTTTTCAGTCACTGCTATGATTAAAAGGGAATTGAGAATGGTCTCATACCTAGGAAGAGTATTAGGTAGAAATTAAGCATGGGTAGTGATTAAGTGATAAGTTGTAAACTAGAGGTTGTTTAGCTTAAAATTAATAATATATAATGGATTTTATTCCTGGCTTGGAATCCCTCAGACGTAGGTGTTGTTGTTCACCGAACTGGGTTAACAATTTTGTGTGTTTAGTTACTTTCTGCCATTTGTATTTTGTTCCTTATTGTCATTGTGTTTGAAGAAGAGATCAAGTGTCTCGACATCTGTCAGGACACTTGAGATTTGCTACCAGAATTTCAATTGGTATCTGAGTAAGCATCCTGCTCTGCATCTAGGTGAGATTCAAGAAAGATACTTTCTGGTACAATGGACAAAGAAGGAGGAATATTTAATATACCACCCATTCTTGATGGATCTAATATGATTATTGGAAGGTGTGCATGGTGGCCTTCATCAAATCTATGGATGGTAAAGCCTAGAAGTATATGGTAAAAGGATGGGATCCTCCAAAGGCTAAAGATAAGAAAGGGAAGATCACTGATCTGATTAAGCCCGAGGAAGACTGGGATGATGAAGATGACAAGCTTGCTCAAGGTAACTCCAAAGCATTGAATGCCTTGTTTAATGGTGTTGGAAAGAACATGTTCAGGTTGATTAAGAATTGTATTGTTGCCAAGGATGCTTGGGAGATTTTGAAGACTGCATATGAAGGAACTTCAAGGGTGAAATTTTCAAGACTTCAACTTGTCACCACCAAGTTTGAGAACTTGAGGATGAAAGTATTCAAGACTTTCATATGAACATCATTGGTACAGTCAATACTTCAAGTGATCTTGGAGAAAAGATTCCAGAAGCTAAGTAAGTACAGAAAATTCTAAGATCTCTTCCCAAGAAATTTGATATGAAGGTGACTGCTATTGAAGAAGTCCAGGATATAAACACCATGAAGGTGGATGAGCTCATGGGATCTCTTCATACTTTCGAACTGGAAATCAATGAGAAATCTGAGAAGAAGAAAAGTATAGCCATGGTGTCTAATCAAGATGAGTGTAATCCTAATTCCAATAAGGAATTGTCCAAGGTTGTGGGGCTTCTTGAAAAACAGTACAACCAACTTTTGAAAAAATTGGACGAGAAGTCAAGATCTAATGTTAGAACTCAGTCATCTGACATCAACAGAAAGAAGAATTTTGGAAAAATAACCAATAGTGATAAGAAATCCATAAAAGGTAAGGGAATCCAATGTTATGAGTCCGAAGGATTTGGACACACAAGAGCTGAGTGTCCTACATTTCTAAAGAAGAAGAAGAAGAAAGGCTTGTCTACATCTTGGTCTGAAGATGACTCCTCAAGCGAGGGAGAAACGGGTAAACATGTTTCTGCACTTACTAGAGTATATAATTTTGATAGGGAATCAGATGTTAAAGAACTCACTCCTGATGAATTGGATGCCTCTTACAAGGATATATGCATCAGAAGTGCAGAAGTGTGTTAATTAGAGAAGGATCAGCAGAATCTTATTGCTCAACTGTGTGACGAAAGATTAAAGCACTTGGATACTATTTCTGATCTAGAGGATGAAGTTGTATTGCTCAATTCTAAACTTGACAATATGACTAAGTATATAAGAATGCTCAATAGCAGTTCATATGTGTTGGATGAAATTCTTAAATCAGGAAGAAGTGCTGGAAATGTCAAAGGGCTTAGTTATAATGATCAAGTTGAAAATAAAGGGAAAAGGCATGTGGTGAATTTTTATCAACACAAACAAAAATAGGATCAAACAATGTCTAGTAAGATGTCCCAGCCTCGACAAAGACCTCAGAAGAACTCTTCAAGAAGAAAGAATCAAGACCGGAAATGTTATCACTATGGGAAGTATGGTCACATAAAGGATTACTGCTACAAGTTGCATGGTCACCCCAAATCAGCAACTCGGCTCAGAAGGAGAAAGGATGCTGCTAAAGCAAAGAAGAAGTGGATTCCTAAGCATGAAAATAATGCTCTAATAGCTCATACCTCTCTAAGAGCCTCTGCCAGAGAAGACTGGTATTTTGATAGTGGTTGTTATAGACACATGATTGGTGTCAAGAAGTTCTTGTTTGATATTAAACCATATTCCACTAGCTATGTCACCTTTGGAGATGGGTCAAAAGGTGAAATAAAGGGTGTTGGGAAGATGGACTATATTGGGCAGCCCAGCCTGGATAAGGTGTTGCTTGTCAAAGGATTGACTGCTAATCTAATAACTATTAGTCAATTGTGTGACCAGGGTCTCAAAGTTAAATTTACCAAGTCTGAGTGTCTGGTGATGAATGATAAGGATGAAGTTATCATGAAGGGAG